CACACATGGTTGCGTGTTTATGCATATGAGTATACGTGACTTGGGTACAATTATGGTGTGATTCGGATTCAGACACGTGTGTGTTGTAACAAAGTGTGTGGTTTGTTGGCAGCACAGGCTTTGGACTCAGAGGGACCTACTTTTGAAAGCTGACAACTGCCACAAACTCTGTGACTTCAAGAAGGTGCCCCAGCCTTTCTAGGCTTTAATTCTGCACTTAAAAAAAGGAGGAATAATAGAATTGTGGGGATTAAATGAGCCACTATAAATAAGGCACCTGGCGTATGGTGGATACTGACCAAATGTGAATTCTTTTCTTTGTAACCCGCAAAAGAGAATTTTTAAAGCCATCTTGAACATGGGAAAGATACAACGTGTTCTGTTCTTGCTGGTGATGAGAATAGCTGAAGTTAGTTGATAAGTCCTTAGAGGGCTGAGTAGAGAAAAAGCAGACCATGAAAGAGTATGTTGTTATCCTTCATCTCCACGCCAAAGGGCTGTTTTAGCAAGCTTCATTTCACAAAACCCACATTTTCGAGGGCAGGGAAATCATTTCAGTTAGTCAGGAACCTTAGATGGTGTCCCCAGCCTTTGAAGATGCCTTTGTTCCTTTGACACTTGGTGAGAACTGGGAACACAGGGCTGGATGGTCCAAGAGGAGGGAGTAACTTCACAGACATGAAAGAGCCCCAGCTAGGAGGGAGTGAGGGAGAACCTTGGGATTGGGGGCAAGGGTTACTTTTTCATAGAACCTTTTGCTTGGGCATACAGAGTATTAGGTTTTGAACTACAAACCCATGAGCCCTGTCCTGTGAGTGGGAATAAGATTGGTAGAGCTCAGGAAATGAACACTGTTCCCAGCCGTTGGCCTGGGAGATGCTGATGCTCAGACCTATCCTCAGGGCTAGGAAAGCCCCCAGACACCTTAGGGCATCCCCTGTGTGTGGGTCCCCTTCACTTCATGTCTGTTGGGTGGAGTTTACCAGGTATTGCTGGGAACAGGGAACAAAATCATGATTATAAGTGGATCCTGGGCAGGGGATGTGGAGCGTGTGAACGTTAGTGTATAGAGGGTGGAAAGGGAAGGATAGAAGGGGTGGCGGGGAGGAGGGAAATAGCAGTAGATTACATTGACTAATTATAGGGAAAAAGCCATATTTGCTGCTCCATTAAGGGATCACTAGGCTATGAAGCAGTTTATTGTAATTAATGCAGAAACAGCAAATAAGTGTTGAGTTTGGAGTGGAGGGTCTCCAGGAGCCCCTCCCTCCTTCAGTTCTCTGGGCTCACTGTCCCCCTCCCCTCCCTCAAATTCATTATCCCCCAGAGAGACAGAGTCTTGGGGGACCATCTTTTTGGGAAGGGCTGCATAACACAGTCTTTGGCCAGTTTTCGTCTGGTTTATTTTGACAAGGAAGGATGATCTTTTACCTGATCTCTTTCAGAAGCTTCTGCAGGGGTTTTTACGTTTTCTAAGGCTGAAGGAGGAGGGACAAACCCGTGTCATCATTGCTATTCTTGCCACAATCATTTTAATTTCAGCACATGAAAGTGGCAGGTTACACATCCAAGTCCATCGAGTTATGGGCCGTACGGAGTTGTGATTGCTTTCCTTGATGATTTCTTGTTCAAATCAGCAGTGCTCTTAATTTTCCAGATGAAGTAAAAAGAAAATTGGAGATTCCCCTCCCGCCCGGCGTCTCTTCATCCAAGGTTTTCTGAGCATGACTCTGATTTGGAGGGTTAATATTAATTAGGAGCCAGTTTAGACCTCGGTTGCTTGATGAGGTAGCTTCAACTGTTGTCACGAATGTGGCTGGCTCCTTTTTGCATGTGTCTGCTTTTGGTGAAAGTTTCTGGATTTAAAAGCCGAAAGAAGAAATATGCAGAGAAAGATAGAGGAGGGACCAATTACCAAAGAAGTGCAAAGCATTCTCCTAGAACTTGAGGGAGGAATGAGAGCCTGGGTGGGTGTGGGTTCTGAGCTGCTACCTTCCCCAGCTTGCGGCCGCTGCTGTTTGCCTTAGTTTCCTTTGTTGTAAGGGAAGGTCATCTCTCTAGCTTCCTAAAAGGGGCATGACTCACTTCCTTGGTTTCCAAATTGGGTGATGCTTGAATTTCTCTGAGGCAAGTCCCTGATGAATGCCAGGTAATGAAGGCACCTCATTTTTGTGCTGAGGCTCAAGGTTCCCTGGCTCCTGTGTTTTCCCAGAGCTGACCCGGTCTCCTGGGGGACTGTGGCAGAAAGGATGAGGCCAGAGAGAGTGAATGAGCCCCACCGCACAGTCAGGAGAAAGGAGACCTGGAGATGAAGGGACCTGTTCTTGGCTTGCATCATGTTAGGGATCTTTTTTCTGTGGACTGGGGTTTTGGGTTGGTTTTCTTTTCTTTCTTTCTTTTTTTTTTTTTTTGAGATGCAATTTCTCTCCAGCCCAGGTTGGAGTGCAGTGGCACAATCTGGACACCCTGCAACCTCTGCCTCCTGGGTTCAAGTGATTCTCTTGCCTCAGCCTTCTGAGTGGCTAGGATTACAGGCGCCCTACACCATGCCCAGCTGATTTTTTTGTATTTTTAGTAGAGGTGGGGTTTCACTTGTTGGTCAGGCTGGTCTCGAACTCCTGACCTCAAGTGACCCACCCACCTCAACCTCCCAAAAGGATTATAGGCATAAGCCACTGCACCTGGCCTGGTTTTCATTTTGACAGGGTGGTTTGGGGCATGAGGCAGTATACAGCAGACCATGGGTATGAACGTTCCAGGCCCAGCCTAGAAGTGACTTCTGCCTCCTGGTCTCTTAGCCCAGTGCTGATGTGCTGAACGTGACCCCAGGCACATTGCCTTGCAGCTCCTTGTTTCAATTTCCCCAAAGATGGGGGGAAGAATGAGGGCATGTTGGGGAAAGCAGTGGTGATTAGGGCTTAAGAGATGAGGCTTAGGAGGCAGGCAGTCTTAGGGTTTCTTTCTGGCCTAATAATTTCCTAGCTGCTTGACCTTGGGGAGTTCACTTAACTGTGCTAGTTCTCAATCTCCTGATATGTAAAATGGGATGATACGATATGAGCATCTACCTGACAGGATTGTTGTAATATTTACAGTAGACAGTGTTCATAAAGTACTGAGCACAGTGTCTGGGAGGTGGCTAGCACTTTATTCCTGGGTGCTACTTTTACTGTTAAGAACTCCATAGTGATTTGACCAGTGGGTTCTGAGAGTTGAACTGAGTCTCGGACTAGATGGGGCCTCATCAAGAAAACATTTGAGGCTAGATGTGGTGGCTCACGCCTGCCCTCTGAGAGGTGGAGGTGGGAGGACTGATTGAGGCCAGGAGTTGGATACCAGCCTGGGCAACATAGTGAGACCCTGTCTCTACAGAAAATCCAAAAATTAGCTAGGTGAGGTGGTACATGCCTGTCGTCCTAGCTACTCAGGAGGTTGAAGTGGGAGGATCTCTTGAGCCCAGGAGGTTGAGGCTGCAGGGAGCTATTATCACGTCACTGTACTCCAGCCTGGGCAACAGGGCAAGACCTGCCTCTTAAAGAAAAATAAAGAAAACATTTGAGCTCCACAGGTTGACATTCAGATTTGAACAGTTTCCCACAGAGGGAGAATTGCTGCAAAAGAGGCAAGGCCTGCCCAAATGCATGGTCTGGAACTTAGGCGATGAAGTGCCCTGCACCATCCAGCTTCGAGGAGATGGGGACTGGGGTTTCCCCTTGCTTGACATTAACCACTTCACTGCAGGAGACGGGAAGGAGGGACAAGAGGAGGACCGATCCCCAAGGAACACGGAGACCCACATTAGGTTTTGGAATGCACGCCTGGTACTATCTGAAATTTAAGTCTTGCTTGACTGAGGCAGAGCAGATCAAAGGCCGTTTGCTGTTTCAGAGTGTTCCTATGTGTGTTTGGCAGACAGTTCTGTCTTTTTATTGCTTCCTTTCCCACTAAGTCGTCTGTCCCCCCACAGCCTCCCACCCCTTGGTGAGATTTTTTTTTTTAATTTTATTTTAAGTTCCGGGATACACGTGCAGGATCTGCAGGTTTGTTACAAGGTAAACATGTGCCATGGTGGTTTGCTGCACCTTTCAACCCATCATCCAGGTATGAAGCCCTCATGCATTCACTGTTGATCATGATGCTCTCCCTCCCGGTGACATGGTTTTAAGTCGGCACCAGCACCTGTTTCTCATGCCTTGTGTGTGCAGGAGGAACTCTGAACTGGGGGCAGGTGCAGGCCCTTTGGCCACTGGGGACTTGGAGCTGTGGATGCCAGTGCTTGTGTGGAGAGCCGGTGTCCATCGGCTGTATCTCAGCTTTCTTTTCAGGCAGACCTATAGGCATTCTAGGTGGGAAAAGCCTTAGCACTTGTGAACTATTATCGTTACTCTCTGGAAGGGAAGGTGGAAGGGGGAATCTATGCCAATGAGCACAACACAGGCCGTGTATAGATACCCGCAAGGTTGCTCGGCATGCTCTTAGGCCTGGAGAAGACAGAATCAGATATTAGCCTGTCCTCTTGCTGCTCTCAGGCTAGCAGGGAGGCAGGTGTACAAACCAGGATGTGAGCTAGAGGGGACTGTGGCCGTGCACAGGAGGGGCACAGAGGGTGGAGCAAGCAGGGCAGGCTTCGCAGAGGAGGCCTCATGAGCTGAATCTTGAGAGAGAGGAGGAGATCCTCCAAGTTGAGGGAACTATGGGAGCAGTTAGCTTGGCTTTTGATGGGTGTAGCACATTGTTCCTTATAGGCTGGGGTGTAATGTGCAGAGGAGAGCAGAGGGAAGATTGATTTGCTCATTATGCAACAAACATCTGGAGCTCCAGTCCTGAACCAGGCCCAAAGCTGGGGAATGGCAACTCAGTCCCTGCTGCCCTTGTGGAGTTGGTGGCTGGCAATGGCACGTTCATTAAACAACTTACTGCATGATTCACTACTTTTCTCTTTTCTTTTCTCTCTCTCTCTTTCTTTCTTTCTTTTTTTTTTTTTTTTTTTTTCCAAGGTCTTGCTCTGTTTCCCAGGCTGGAGTGCAGTGGCACAATCAAAGCTTACTGCAGCCTTGAATTCTCAGGCTCCAGCAGCTCTCCTGCCTCAGCCTTCCAGGTAGCTAGGACCACAGGCACACATCGCTATGCCTAGCTAGTTTTTTAAAAATTTTTTGTAGAGATGGGTAGCTCGCTTTGTTGCCCGGGCTGGTTGAACTACTGAGCTCAGGTGATCCTCTTGCATTGGGCTTCCAAAGTGTTGGGACTACAGGTGGGAGCCACAGTGCCTGGACTGATTCATGATGAAAGTGTGATTACCATAAATGCTGCAAAGATGCATTGGAGGTTAAAGAGATCACAACAAAAAAACCAGATTTCCTTTGGGTTTTGGGAAGACTTCCTGGAGAAATAGCACAGAGGCTGAGCTTGACGTAGAGAGGGAAATGGCATGGTGCATTTCATGTGCTGAGGAAAGAGAAGGTGGCTGGAATGCAGAGAGTGAAGGGGACAGAGGGGAGAGGTGAGGCCACAGTTGCATTGGGGGGGATAAAAATTCCTATCCTAGGAGGATTGGGGAACCCATCTGTTTAAGAGTTTAAGGGATGAGAAATGATCAGGTTTGCGTTTTGAAAATATCTCTGGGAGTCTACATGGAGAGTGGCTGTGGGTACCCCAGGTAGCTATGGGGGAATCAGATCGTTGCAGCGATCTGCTTGAGGAAGGATGGCTGCTTGGTTGAGTTCTTGGAGGTGGTGATGGAGACCAGCAGATGGGTTTGGGATGCATCTGAGAATTGGAGCATCAGCTTGGTAGTTGGTTAGCTGAGGAGTAGGAAGTGTTAAAGGTGAGAGGCAAATTTGATTTCTCATTGGTGTGGGCAGAGCCCCCAACCCCCACCTCCTGAGATTGGGAGTGTTGGCCCATGAAGGAGACAGGGCAGGTGTGACTGGCTCAGGGGGTTGAGTGTAGCCCCTTGGCTGGAGATTGGCCTACTCTTAATGATGGGCCCCTATTGGTAAACTTGTTTTTGAGCTTGCACTGTGTAGGTATTTATTTATAAATGATATATATATATATATATACTTCTGTACTAAAATAGCATCCTCCTAATCAGGCAAATAATTAAAAACAAAATAGGATGAGAAAAAAAGCTAAGCACCCATAAAAATTTTCATCTTTTTTTTCCCAAACTTTACCATGGGGACCATTGCTTTAGGCCATGGGGAGCCCTTAATGAGTTTTAGGGTGGCGATGGCCAGTCAGATGGGTGTTGGGGAAAGAGCACTCTGCAATCCAGGGTCTCTCCGGTGAGTTCTGCCCAGGCCAGGGACCCAAGGGAGAGGTGCCCATGCAGTCTTGTCATGTGTGGCCTGGTAAGTCAGGGACGTGAAATTGTGGCATAATTACTATCCCCCCAGAAGTGATATTGGCAATATCGTAACAGGTGTGTGAGGGCTTATTGGTGTTTGATGTTTGCTAGTTTGTGTGTGCTCAACCCACGGGAAGAAGTGGCAAGGCCTGCTCCCCTGTGGTCCAGCAGGTTCCTGTCTAGAGGACTGAAGGCTGTACTTAGCCAGGGAGAGCCAGATCTGTAGAGAGCATCATGTGGGGATACAGTGCCCGTTCTCAGCACCTCCACTACTTGCAATGCCATCAGCAGCCAATTCTGAGCCCGTGTGGGCTACTCTTCTCCTTTTTTCTGGTGGATTGATAATAATACTTCCCTACTGAACTCCAAAGACTGAAAATGATGCAAAGTGAATTGTTTCTATCTTTGAAATCCAAACGTTTCTCTTCGTTCACTCTCCAAATCCCTTCTAGCAAATTGGTATCGCCGCTCTCCCTCCGTCCCTGGGTTCTCGGAGGCTAATTCCGTTCCAGCTCGCTCCATTTAGCTCTTTCTTCGAGCAGAACCCAAGCTAGAATCCTGCCTTCCAGAGAATGCTTTAAAAAGCCTTGTTTCCCAATATACTGCGTTTCAGTTTTCCACGAGTGCAGCCGTGCTTGGGAGAGGCGTACGAGCTGCTTTTACATGTGAGAGGTGAGCAAATCAAAGGTGAGCCCGTTCTGCCTCAGTGAGGCCTTTTGTGTAAAAAGGACCTTCTGGAGTAAAGCAATCAGGCTGACTGACAACTGCCGAGGCACAGTGCTGCTCTGTGGGATAACTTGGAGAAAAATCAGGGCCAAAACAGACAAAAGGATGTCCAGAAACTGGAGGTGGGGAAGCCTGAGTGAGATCAAACAGCCTGAAAATGTGTCTTCCATCCATTTAGGACTTTGCGGGGACTGAGGTTGGCGGGGCTGGCTGAGGATGTCAACATTTTAAATTTGTCGCTTTGACTTCCCGAGCTTTATCTCCCATGAGATCAAAGCGGAGAGACTAGGAGTTGTCACTGCCGGCTTCAGTTTCAGGCTATGCTGGGGTACCCTTGCTTTATGACCTTGGAGTTTCTTGTCTTTGCTTGGGGTGACGGGTTCATTTCAGACAAGAAGTGACATGTATGTTGTGGTCTTTTATTCAGAGTGGGAGCTCTTAAAAAGACTGGGAAGCAGCTTGGAGGGCCAGTCCCGTATTTTCCAAGGATTCCGGAATCCAGGAATCCAGAAGTTTCTATTTGTTAGCCTTGCTGCTCCTCCAAGGAGCCATCCTGAGGCAGTTTAGTCCTGCATGGAGAGACAAGGCACGGGCCTGAAGAATTCCTGCCCCCTGCTGTATAATAAATCTGATACTAAAATTAGTGCTGGCCTCTCGAGCCATTATTCGTACTGAGATGATAAAGGAGTGTGTGTGTGGCAGGCTTGGCTTTCAGGATTGGAGGAGGTTGCTTTATGTCAGATAAGTGCCCTGGCCTCGAGATCATTATCTTATGGCAGTCTCTCCCCCGTTCCCCTGCTTCCTCTCCTCCTTCTTCTGTTTTGTTAGGGGTAGGAGTAGGTAGGGGTGGATAGAGGAGAAATATTTTAGCTTGTCTTTTGGTTTTGTGTAAGTCTCTGTCACCGTAGGTAGATGTTCCTTGAGAATCTTTCTGAAGGTTTTATAATTGAGTCTTTTACCTCCGCGACAAGATGTTATTCACTTTCTCTAAAGCATTTACTTTATGCTCGGGGTGGGGAGGGGCAAGACTTGTTTTTTCAGGGAAATATGTCTTTAGGAGAGACTTGCTCTCAGGGCAGCTCAGTGGCCAGCTTATGACTCTAATCACTGAGGCGGGATCTGGGCCCCTCGCTGAATGGCCGTCCTCTGGCAGGGCGATTTTGCTTTTAAAATAACCATGTTCACATTTAACAGCAAACGGCTGTGACGAGAGTTGTATTTAATTTCAAATTGCCCATGTCCAGTAACCCCCTGTACCTCTTTAAACAATCAAATGTTTTTAATCTTCCCGCAGCTGTGTTCTCTGTGTGGGGGCTTGGCATTTTTGGAAGAGGAGGGGGCTTCTGTGCCTCCTCTCCACTCCCTTTCTTTTCCCTTTCAAACTCACTGGGACTTCGTGAATTTGCTATTTTGCTAATGGGGGAATCTGGCCAGTAAAGTCTCAGAGTGAGTGCTGGGAAGTTTCTAAGCAGAGGCCGGGCTGGGTCAGTCAGTAATGTCAGCCCCCGGGGCTGAAGTGCTTCCTTTGTGGGCAGAACCCAGAGGCCCTTTGTAACTCTGACCCATTAAAGAGTCCATAACTTTTTCTCCCCATTCCCTGCCTCCAGCTTCAGGGGGGGCTTGATTTGTCTGTTATAATCAGAAACAGATTTTGGGCTCCTGATCCATTATAGATGTGTTTGAGATGGATGCCAAACCTGAAGCCACTTGAGGAGCATGTGAAAATGTGTGTAGATACAAAGGAAAGAAAGGAAGAGAGAGGACGAGGAAAGAAATAGCCACTTCCAAATCCCCCAAACCAGAAACAATCCTGAAATGATAACACATGGGAAAAAAAATCTCCATCCAGGCCCTGAGAAAGCATGGGAGGAGAAAATTTGGCTCCAAAGTCAGCCAAGTTGGTGCTTCGTCTGGGATGAACAGCCCAGTGAAGGAGGTTGAAGGAGTCGGAAGACGCACGTGCGCTCCCAGAAGTGTTTCAGGTGGGGCCTCCCGGGTCCAGGGGCACATGTATCTCAGGCTCGGAGCTGAGGGTAGCAGGTGGGTGAGGACGCAGAGGGAGCACTCACGTTGTGCCCAGCAGGCCTGTGTTTCTATCCAGAAGACCCTTGGGTTAGGAAATATTGATTGCTTTGTATTTGTAAACAATCTTTAAGGGATCCAGGGCCAACACAAATAGCCAACTTCAGGGGAGTAAGTGTCCTCTCAATAGGGAAGCCCATTGCTCTGATTTTCTGGATCGACATGGCCCCAGATTTATTTTCCTTTTTAATTCCCAAAAGGGGCCCGCTGTGTTGAGCATTGCCCAAGTATTGGTTTCTTTTCATCCCTGTTGAATTTTTTTCCCCTCTTTAATAAAAGAGTCAGCTGAGTTGGCTGTGCTGGGTCCTCCACCCAGTGGTGGTTGTCCTGGGGACGCCTGGCTGCAGGGTTTCAAAGGTGGCCCTCATTTCAGCTGTCCTTGAGGCTCACTCCTGTGTTCCCCCCACCCCGCCTTTCACCCCGCACCCGCCACCTCCCAGAACGTTTGCAGTGCAGCTGCTGGCCCAGAACTCAAACTGATGTGTCTCTCACTCCAAACAAAAAATAAACCTGTGTGCTTTATGTATGTGTTTTAGAGGTGTGCCTGTGTCTTTTTTCTCTTGACAAGTTCATTCCCTGCAGCTGTGCAGTCACAGCGCACTTTGAAATCTGCAGCATATATATATATTTTTAAGTGAGTAAGTATGAAGAGATGGGGAAATGTGGTTTGACTGTAATCCCACATAAAACACTCTGACCCCGATTTTTTAAAAAGTATTTCATTAAAATACTGTAGGAGACTGTTACCGAGAAGAATAAAGTTTCCGAGTTGATGGGATTCTTGTGTCTCCTAGTGTAGGGTTGATTTTCTTTTTACTTTTTTTGGTGGTTACTATGGAGATGAGAAGCTTGGGGCCTAATGGTGTTGTCTGCCCCCAAGGCAGGAGGGCTCGTTGGCACAGGTAGCCTCTGGATCAACCTCAGCCTCATCTGCTGGGGATGGGAGTTTAGTTGGCCAGGGGTTTATCCTGTGCCCTCATCAGCTAGAATTAAAATGACCTTTTTTTTTTTTTTACCTGGGAAGAAACGTTGGTAACAATTTCTCAAAACTATGGAGCTCAGCAGTGATTAGTTTTCAGATTTTCTCTTTCTTTAACCCCTCCCCTTTCTGGAAGCCTTGTAGGAGGAAAGGGGCGGTTCTTCTGTGCGTAGATTGGCTTCGGGTTTCTTAGAATTTTCTTCTTTTCACCTTAAAAAAAATTGTTTGCATCCCTCCTCTTAGATAAGCATCCATCAACATCCCTGTTAGAGCCCAGTGCAGAGGGTACCCTGAGGCACATACATTTCAAGGTTAGATAGCAACAGACTTTCAGAGTAGCCAGTGTTTCAGGGGAGGGAGGGTTCTTCGGGTTCAAGGTTACCCATTTTTCCCCCTGCTAGGAAGAAAGCCTTTTTGTTTTCTTTTGCCGACTTCTTCCAATAGCTTCGAGCAAATAGATTAGCAACCCAGCAGAAACCAAACCAGGGAACAAGTAAAGGGGAAGTCGCAGAGGGCCCTAGGCTGGGGGCTGGCTGCCGCCGAGTAGGCCAGCTTGCGGTTTTCCCTTTTCACGTTGAACTGCATTGTCTCAGGGTTCGCTGGTATTCACAAAATCAGAAAGGAAGGTGGGTGGGAGGGGGCATTTTTCAGGAGAGGCTGGGGTGCCGGGAAAGTATGCCCAGCTGTGTGTTATTAGCAGGCTTCAAATAAAGTTTCTGGAAGGTTCGGGCCCCTACGGTCATGTCTGGGAAGCTTCTGTGTTCTTAGTAGGTGTTTTGAAATCCGTGGGATGAAACTGAACGTTTAAAAACAGTTACAGGAACATCTCCCCAAATAGGGATTCCTGAGAATTTCTGTGTACGTGGAACTCTATTTTCCTATCAAGCATCATTATATTTTTAGAAGTGTTTTCTTTTCTTGCCCGTCAGCCGAGCCTCCTACCACTCACTTTCTGTTGTGTAGTTCTGATTTTCTGAATAGATGTTTGGATGATGAGGGGTTATGTTATGTTAAAAAATGCTAAAGAATATGCCTTATCACGTGAATCAATACCTTTTTATTCAACATGGATGGAGTGGGAGTGGAGACCCAGTCTGTTTTATGTAACTACGATCTGACGGCGGTAAGAAAAAGTTCATGCTGTTCGTTTTAGCTAGCCAGCCTCTCTTTCTCTCTTTCCCTCCCTCCCTTCTTTCTTTCTTTTGCCTAATACCTAATTCCTGATCTCATTTCCGGGATTTTGAGAATAATTTTCATGTGCACTGACAGAACTGGTGGTTGTAGTTTCACTTGTTTTTTGACATTAAGGAAACAACAAATAGGTTTTTTTTTTTTTTTTCCTCAGACTGAGCACACACTTTTAGTGTTTTAGGGGGAGGCTCTGAAGGTGGTTTGTGGTGATTTAAAAAAAAATTGTCTTTAAAGCTTTTGTCTCTCCTGGAAGCTGTGTGCCCTTGCATTTTCCTCGACGGTCGCTAATAAGAACTGCTGGTCTAAATCAGTGTCTCCGAGCGTCACTGATTCACTAATTGCTCATAATCGAGTCCTGGCTTCCCCCTCCTGCTGAGAGCACTTTTGTTTTCTGCTGTTCTGCAAGGAATTGGACGGATTTCTGGAGTGTTTAAGAGGTAACCAATAAAAGAGTTTGGCGTGCCACTCCTGGTGATTGTGCTTCTAGGAGGTGACCGCGTCACTGGTATCCGGGCTCCATAAACGAGGGGCTGCCTTACCAGTGACCTTTCCCGCCTAAAACCGAAGGCCCCAAGGTCGCTTGTCTGATGGAGAATGTATTTCCTGGCTCACTGTGGGCCTCGACTTAATTTGTTCCTTTCCTAAGGCAAAATGACCTTCCTGTAAACCCGCCCCCCCCCGCCCCCATTATTATTTATTTATTTTTCTGGTGAACAAACAGAATTAGGAAAGGTGTATTCTTCCAGTAGAGAGCAGGAGGAGGTGGCAGTCGGCTTATGGAAATGCCGAGGTAGGTTTAACCTGATTGCAAAGTGCGGATCCTGCTGGCCAGAGTGTGATGCCCAGACACAAAGCAAAGCCTGGAGAGAGGCTGGCCTGGGGGCCACTGCCTTGCACAGCAGAGTTTTGAAGCCACATTCTGCTTCATTGGATGTTTAAAAAGAAAAAAGAAAGCAACCCCTTTTGTTCCATATTCATCAACTCTGTAGTACCCTACAAATAAATGGTCTCAAAAAGCTTTTTTTTTTTTTTTTTTTTTTTTTTGCTAAACCTTTGTGATAGGACCCTTTCTGAGGGCCCCAAGAGCCCAGGAATGCCTCTTCGCAGTGTTAGTGTGGGAAATGCATGCAGGCCCAAGGAAAGGAAGTGTCAAACTGCTTCCCTCAGTGAACACCAAGCCTGGCAGTGCTGCCCTGTGCGTCTTGGAAGCCCTGTTGGGCCTGAGTTTGGGTACCATCTGATTTGCTGGCCTGGCACCCCTTCCATGGGTCCCTCTTGGGCAGCCTTGGGGAAGGGGTGTGGTGGGGACAGGAGAGTAGTGTGTGTTAGGGGCCGCCTGCATGTGTGGGCAGAGGACTGCCGGGGCTGACCACCCTGACTCGGTCTTGGAATCCTGAATGTTGCCTGTCCGGGGCTTGGTTGGCCGTGTGCTTTTTCCCTGTGGTCGTTAGTTTGTGTTGGGTGTTTGGTTTCTGGTTTGCTTTGGGTGCTGGGACTTTAGCTCAGGGAAAAGGCCTGTGGTGCTTCTCTGCCTTTCGGCTCCTGCATGGGGCATTGGAAAGCCCTTTTCCTGCCTTGTTGAAACCTTTGCATCTGCACACCTAGCCAGCCTGGCAGTCAAATGGATTCCATTGCAGCCCCTGCCTAGAGGGCAGCAGGATGTCTGTTTTGGCTGGTCATGAATGAAATCAGGGTCCTGTGGTGGCAGTGCCATTGTGCATAAGGAGTGGAAGGAACGCACTGGGCCATCTTACCAGAGAGCCCCTCTAGACAGATGTGGTTGGATGATCTGCAGACAGCAGTAGTGAAGAGTGTGGGAGAGCGGGCTGGGGTGACACCAGGAAGAGCAGGAGGAGCTCTGGGAGGATTCTGGGCCTCCTTCTCCTTCATTCTGCCTGGGGTGGGATGTTTGGGAGGAGAGAGGCAATGTGGTGTGCTAGATAGGCCTGTTCTTTGGAGACAGTTCTGGGATTGACTTCTGGCTGTGTGACCTGGCCAAGTGACATAGCTTCTGGAGAGCCTCATGTGTATCATCTGTAAAATGGGGATAGTAAGACTTGGGTGGCGGCTCTGGGAACAGACAGAACTTTCTGTAGAGCATGTAGCACAATTCCTGGCATCTATTAGGTGCTTAGTCAGTGTTGATTATGAAGCCAGCCTGGACCCAGCTGTTGTCGCTGGGACAGGGAGGAGGTTGTGCGGTTACCAAACCCTACACCATTGATTTTGCTGCTTTGGACGGAGAGGCCCAGTGTGCCCTTTAGTCTTCCAGGCTCTGAAAGGTTAGTTGTACCCTCCTGTCTTTCTCTACAGAATCTTCCCCCTAACCCCCCCTGGTGTCTGCTGAACTGAGAGTCCCAGCTTCTCCTGGGTTGTCTTTCTTTCCTCTGGTTTCTGCCTGAGAGCACCGTGCACCAGAGACCAAGGGAGGTTGACTGTCATCAGCGCAGACCCTTGGCTCTTCGCTGAGGGTGGATCCCAGCGTCTAGATGATAGATGGTGCCACTTTGGTTTCTAATTCTTGCTTAATTTAGAGAGGTGCTGGAAGCGAGTGGTGTTGGAGGGAACGGAGGCCGTGGGAAGGCTCTGTGAGTGTGAGCATTTGATTACCTTCGGTGCTCTAGGCCAGGGGTTCACAACCTTGGCACTGCTGACATTTGGGGCCAGATCATTCTCTGTTAACGGGGGTGGAGGTTGGGGAAGTGGGGTGCATTGGAGTGCATTGTATCTTGGTGGGATGTTTAGTGGCATCCCTGTCTTCTACCCACTAGATGCCAGTAGCAATCCCTCTCTGGTTGTGACTACTAGCAATTGCCACATGTCTCTTGGGGGACACAGTCACCCTTAGATGAGGGTCATTGGTCTAGCACTGTAGGTCACTTCTCTATAAGAAGGGGAAATATTTGTGTGTGTTCTGAGGTTCTGTTCCGCATGGATTGGAACCTGGACAATGAAATATTCATGAAATTCAAGAGCAGGAAAGTGCCTGGAGAGATCACCTGGTCCAGGCTCCAGCCTCCTACAGGTGGCTAGCCCCATGGCCTGGGTTTGATTTCCATGGTCCCTGCTGGTCTTCTTTTTCGGTTAAGTGAAAGGGCAGGGAGAAGGGACATTTCCACCCAGGCCACTGTCTCTATGGAGCTTTTCAGAGTGGGAGCTTCTTTCAGCAGAATGACTCTGCACTCCTGGGCTCTTGGCCGTCCTGTGTTTGGGCCTCTGGGAGCTTGGTTGCAAGCTCACAAGTATGATCAACTCTCCCATCCCCGGCACACACAAATGTGTCACTCAGAGGAACTGGCTTTTCTGCATGGACTGAATGGACTTTTATTTGAAATGAATTCATTAAAAAAAAAAAGTTTCTCTTGCCAGGACTCTGGTGTCCTCTCTCTTCCCTTTTATTTCTCTCTGTCGTCTGTAAGACGAGCCTGGAAGGAGCCGTCTGGGGGGATTAGTTGGCCACGGATTTTTTTCTAGGCCCTGATTAAAGGTAAATTATCAGCTGAAAGTTGGAGGTTACTGCTGTGCTTGTAAAAGTCAGTTGTGTGCCATAAAGTCCATCACAGCTCCCTTGGTGAGAAGGAGGAGGCCATGAAACACTCAGTGATGCTAGTTCGGCTCCCGGCGATTTGGCTCCCCTGCTGCGGGAGTGCTGCCTGACAACCCTGTGCTCCCTGCTCTTGTGAGAAGCTCACTGGATCGGATCAGTGAGAAGCTCAGAGACAGAAGCTACCTATTGCCAGCAAGTTGGCACGAAGTAGTTTTAGATGTGGGACTTAGAAGCAGATGGCTTTATAGGCTAGAAGTGGAGCCCATGATGTCTTGGTGACTTTTCCCTCTCTTTTGCTTAGGACCAAAGATGGTGGCTGTCCAGTTGGAGAGGGGTGGGGAGTCTGGCCTTGGAGAGGCAGTATAGCCCAGTTGAGCGCATGAAGGCAGGGACCAGACTGCCTTGCCACTTACAGAGATGGGATGTGGGCTAGTTATTTAATCTCTCTGGGCCTCAGTTTTCTCATCTGTAACATGGGGATGAGAATAATAATACTAACTCTGGGATTGTTTTGAGAAATTAGTGGAAGAAAAGGGCTGAGCCTAGAGCCTGGCCAGGGGTAAGGAAGTCGTTCTTAATTATATTATCATTGGTTATACTATTCTTTTTAATTTTTTTAGTTTTTCTTTTTAGAGATGGAGTCTCCCTCTGGCACCCAGGCTGAAGTGCAGTGATGTGATCATAACTCACTGTACCCTCCAATCCTTAGACTCAAGCAGTCCTCCCACTTCAGCCTCCCAAGTAGCTGGCACTGTGGGCATATGCCACCATGCCCATCTCATTTTAAAATTTTTTTAGAGATGGGGTCTTGCTATGTTGCCCAGGTGTAGGTCTCCAATTCCTAGCTCCAAGTGATCCTCCTGCCTTGGCCTCTCAAATGTTGGGATTACGAGTGTGAACTATTGTTCCTGGCCTGGTTATATTATTCTATAATGGATGGTTAGCCTGGTTCCTGAGGCTTTGGGAAAGTGGTTCTCAGACTTGACTATTCAGAAAAATCAGGTGAACCCATTTCTGGGCATGTTGAAATCGGAGTCTCAGTTGTGGGGCCTGGGACTCAGTGTTGAATGTCTCAGGTGGTAATATTGCATGGAGCCTGCATATAACCTGGTGACTCCTTCAATGGCAGTGTTGTTCAGATTCTTTTTTTTTTTTTTTGAGACCAAATGTTACTCTGTCACCCAGGCTGGAATGCAATGGTGTGATCTCAGCTTACTGCAGCCTCCACCTCCTGGGTTCAAGTAACTCTCCTGCTTCAGCTTCCCGAGTAGCTGCAATTACAGGCTAGCGCCACAACGCCCGGCTAATTTTTTGTGTTTTTAGTAGAGACAGGGTTTCACCATGTTGGCCAGGCTGGTCTTGAACTTCTGACCTCAGGTGATCCT